TGTCCTCAACATCAGCTGCAACTCCTTGACTTCATCTGAAAAAAATCAACTGGACTAGATTTCTAGGTTGAAGACATTTCATCCAAGAGGCTTCATCAGTTCTGACTGACTGGTGTTGAGCCGGAGATATTTATCCCCCTCGGTGGTGTTTCAGTCCTTTTGAAGGCCAACAATTTCCCCTAATGACTGAGTCATTATAACCCAGTATCGGTGCGAGTCGTTACCTGTCTTTGAATCCTCACCTGTCGACGCCTATTGTCCTGGTGGGCATGTTTGGGCAGGGATCTCAAAACAGGATTGTAGATGGATGACAAGTTGTGTCTTAGTCCACCACCCCTTTTTAGTGAGGGGTGTTATAGTTTTACAAAAATAGCTTCCTTGAATCCTCTCTCAAACCAGCAATGTTCTCTGGAGAGGATCTGGACTTCACTGTCCTCAAAAGAATGATCTTTGTCCTTTAGGTGTAGGTGGACTGCTGACTCTGGACCACTGAAGTTGGCCGTCCTGTGTTGACATCACCACCAATGCATCCATTCTCCAGTGATAGTTCTATATAATGTAGGATATGGTTTGTGTTACCATTGCTAACTCTGAAAGACGAGACAGTCCAAGTAACTTCAAAACAGTGCTGATTTATTCAAAGGATCACAGGTAAAATTAACATTACACGCTCAAGTATCTTGCACCTCCAAACTGCTCGCAGGCAGATGTAGGATGAAAGACCCTGAACCCACCAGGCCTATACATTATATCCCCTCGGTTGGGCTAGCCCCATACTACACAGAAACGTCAACCGAGACGTCTCTGTTGCCAGCTTTGCAGCTGGTCATAGCAGTAGTCAAAACATGAAGCTAATCAACGTGTGAATGTGTGTGTCTGTTGATTAAGTGGTGTGTAGCTAAAAACATTCTCACGACCTCTAGTGACATGTCGTGACTTAAACATAAGAACATATTATGGCTAAGGCTACAGTTATACACGTCATAATAATAATATTAAACACCCTGTCTGCTGACAGTCATCAACTCTTCTCTCTAGTTATCCTTGACCAGATGTACCCTGTAGAAACTCATAAGCAGGCCTAAGCATTTAACAGTCTAACTAGACATCCTATCTCCACTAAACATTTCTAATACATAAAGTATCTATCCAATATCTATCTGACTAAAAATACCTAACAATAATTAAAAACAGAATAATACAAACACTGCCAAGGTTTGGGGTTTCTCTTACAGTAATAAAAATCACAGGACGGCACATAAATCTTTGATTGAATTTCATCATTATAACATATTATAATTAGTGCTGAAGTAATTACAGAAGCAAAAGTTGTAATACATTTTCAAGTAAAAATAAACTGATTGCAAGTGTAGGCAGCATGATGGCCTTTCTGTGCGGAGTTTGCATGTTCTCGCCGGGTACTCCAGCTTCCTCCCACAGTCCAAAGACATACGGCTTAAGTTGATTGATGTCTCTGAATTGCCCGTAGGAGTGAATGTGTGCATGTGAGTGGTTGTTTGTCTGCGTGTTGGCCCTGCGATGGACTGGCGACCTGTCCAGGGTGTACCCAACCTTTGCCTGATTGCTGGCTGGGATTCGCTCCTGGCCCCCCAATGTTTGAATACTCAAACAAAGTCTCCACACAGTAAGTTCTTTGAGCTTTTGCTCGGAGTTGTAACAAAATACTCTTCTTAGGAGGACTGTCTGACTGAAATGCTCTATAGTAACTGAAAGTCTGTAAAAAAAGTCACACAGTGGTGGGGGTGGGGTGGGGTTGGAGGATTGGTTTTTAAAGATATCTGTATGTGTGCACAAAGGCTAAGAGGAGTTTTGCAGGACTGATGTCAGTGAACAAATGGCATGACTTTTCTACAAATTTATCCCAGATCAAATACAGGATTAACAAACTGTCTATTTGTGTTTGCATTTTTTTCCCTTTTGGGTAGTTTGTTTTTTATGGCATCACTTACAGACTGTCAATGGAGGTAATGGCACAACTTCTCATTAATTCATCTTTTATACTCACATAATACATATTCAGAGGAAAGATACAGTGTATTTCACCCACAGTGCCCTACATCCTGGGTGTATTTATGCATGGGTGCATCTGTGGGTGTCACTGATATGCAGTGGCAGTAAAAATGACCCTTTCTGAGAGTGACAGCTTTAAGCCCTCAAAACTATGAGTCCAGAGTGTGGCATATGTACTTGTGTAGCTGAAATCATTTCTGCTGGGAGATAAATCTGCCTTTCAATCCTTATCAGGGAGCTCGCAGAACAGGACCAATCACCTCCCACTGCTGAGCTGTCAATGTGGAGTTAATTGCCTTTCAGAGGCAAAGCGGGGGGAGGTTGTGGGTTGTGTGTTTTGTCTTTTTTGTTGGTGTTTTTCAATTAACCTCAGTTACTGTACCATATGATGCAGGATCAGTGCATGGACTCTGTCATGCTGATTTTTTCCCTTAAATGATAAGGGAAACAAATGGATTTATCAGGAAGTAATGCAAACCATGTTTGAAAAAACAGAACAGAGAGATGAAGACGGGAGATAGGTACAAGGACAGATAAGTAGAGAGAGAGAGAGAGGTGGGTTGGGCTTGGCATGCAGCGACGTGTTCTGAGAGAACTAAAGAGGACAAGGTCGTTCAAGGTCTCCTGTCATGCTTGATGGGTTACAGTGGTTTTTTTTGATGGAATAAGGAGCAATGAGGGTGGGGTTGGAGGGGTCCATCTGGTCTACATGTATATCGTAGTTACATATGAATGCCCCTTACCAGTTTACACATCAGAATGCTCTGTATGTACCTGTGTTCCTTGCATATATGTGCAGTGCTAATGGCCTTGTGTTCTAGCCTGCTACATTAGCTCCCTCTAAACTCCATTTCTTTCATTACTAATTGCCTTTGCCACAGTTTATAGCCTTGAATATCTCAACACTAACCATTACTCTAGTTCTTAGAGCAGTCATTTGATAAGAGAGGGTTAATGGGTTATGCCCACTGATTTGTAATTATATAACAAATGAAGTGTTGCCATTCTCCATCACATTTACCAATTGTTGAAAGAACCCGTCAACTGACATCTTGAAGCAAGACCCAAAAATGTTTAAAGGAGGATAAAGACCAAGCTGAGATGTCAGTGTACTTTGCTCTGCAGGCATGATACAACAGTATATGCACATATTCATTACATATTTACCCTGACATTTTTGTGGTATAGATAAGCAAAACATTACATATCCATACATTTGGCAGGCAGAAGAAGGAGACAGCAATGTGTTGCCACCTGCAGGACTGGAGAACACTCCAGGAGCCTTTCAGGATTTTTCCATCATATGGTGCAACAGAAGGGCATAAATGTGTGTGTTTTGATCTATTTCTGTGCATGTTACAGTGAGAGACTATTCTGTTCTGTCTTTGCTGTGTTCTTATTTTCCTTTTTATTATCATCCTTTGCGGATTTGCTCTAGCTGCACTGCATGTTGCAGAGGTAAAATGAGAACATTGATTTCAGTGACAGCTTAGCCACTAGTCTCTAGTCCTGCAAACGAGGCAGTTTGTATAAAACAAGATGAATGTGATGGAAACTGTAATACAATTACTAATGACAAATCACATCCTGTGGATTTCTCGCTCAGCAGTATTACGCAGACCAGCACGTACACACACACACAACTATGTGCATTCACAGAAGGGTGTGGATCATACTGGGATTGCTTTAACGATAAATAATGATTGGATTAATGGCCAGAGATTATACAGTTGGATACAGATTCACAGAGGCAAAGACCCATCAGTGTGGGTGCATTGTGCTGTCATGCCGCTCCAAATTCCAGGGATTGATGTCATTTCCTGTGTTTGCCGTCATCAGAAACTTGTGTGGCACGCTTTTATTGTACATAGGCCACAGCATCATTTAAGATCACATTGCAATGTACTGCATGTCTCAGAGTGATGTGGGGAGGAGACCACATCCCCTCTCTGTGTTTTACCACATTGCTCTGCTATTGGCTTTTTTTTAAGGTCAAACTACACTTACTGAAAATGGCACTAAGCCTTTCTGGTAAACTTCCCAATAGTAACTGTCTGTCATGCAAAACCACCGAATAGTTTCAATAGGATGTAGTCGGGCCTTGTGCTTGATGGAATGTTCCTGGTCCTTGCTTGAAATGTACAACATAGCACACTCTTGAGATGAAGGAGTTGTCCCAGTTAATTTTTTAGAATGTTTAGCATTTCATGCACTGTTATGGTTTATATTGCCAAGGATGTTTTCTTAACCGCCTGCATTTTATTAAGATGTTCATCCTCCCTGCTATAGAGTGCCGTACAGATGATGTATTTTCGTAGGCCAATCTGGAAGTTGGTATCACTCTGGTTCCTTTGACAAAAAGCAAAAAGGATTTTGGATTATTTCAGAAATTTAGCTCTGTGTGAAACAAAAGCTTATGACACTTACACATTTTATTCAGTAAGACAATCCTCATAAGTGAACACCACTTTTATGATTTTGAAGCCGAGCTACAATCACCAGAAGTACCACATGACCTCTGCATGTTGATCACTGACTACTGTGGACCGCACCCCACTTTCTGCTGGATGTCACACCTTCAAATGACTATACAGTTGTTGTCAAGTTATGACATGCTAACTTAACCTGGCCGCATTTGCACTGCACCTTGCACTGCATGTTTCTGCTGTTTGTATTTGGCGCTGTAGTAAAATGATGTACTGATGTCATTATTTTGTTATTTCCAGTTATTAAAATGTTATAACTATTTGAATAATAATATCTAACCAAAAAAACCCATTGACTACAGGATGAGGGAACAATTCTAACTCTGGGCTGGGTTTTAGGACTCCTACTACTACTACTACTACTATGGCACTGTATATCAGATTTTTACTAGTTTCTTATCAATCTGCTGGGTAGATACACTTTCACAGTGGGACCAAGAATAAAATCACTTACCTTTCCACCCTTCTTGTCTATGTCCACAGTGAATGAGTATGTGTTCATGGTCCAAGCCAGAGGAATCCAGATCAAAGATAATGTAAGGAACATTGGAGCTCAGGTTCTGGAGCAGGTGGTGAGACAGGCTTACAACATCAATGGCACAGGTAAAAACATACAAATAAATATAAGTTGTATCAGGAATGTTTACTGTAGCTTATGTACTGTCTCTTCTGCAAGCACATGGACACAATTACAGCTTCTACCCTGGTTAAAATGAAAACAAAAATATCTATTGTAGTTGAGTCTGAGTCTTATGGTTAGTAACTCATTCATGTGTATGCAGAGTGTGTACAAAAAGCATTAATACAGTAAAATAAAGCACACAACTACAGCCACATAGTTAAAGACTGTATTAAAGTATAAGTTCATTAAACTGCTCCTGATGGTGGTGATGATATATTTATGTGTGTGATTCCAGATTATACCTATGACTTCAACATGAGTGAGAGCGATGCTCCTACCACCACATACCTTCCTGAAGGCTTCACCTACCTCCCCTCACAGGTTTGCCCTGAGAGGCTGCCTTCCATGAGTAAGTATCAGTGTTGAAGTGTTGATTTGAGTTTCAGTTTATTCGCTTTACTTTGACCCTGGCTCATTTTTGTCTAATATATAGTATGTACAGTAGGGCACCAGTTTAGACGAACAGATGTTCTCCTGGTTGCTTAGCCCTGTAAAATTCCCTTCAGTGAATTTTCATTTATATTTCAAATATATTTTAATTGCACAGAATGAATGGCTTTACCCAGCAATGTATGTCCCAGATTGCTCAACTCAGTGTGTTTTTTCATCCTGGTCCCTCTTCCTTCATATCTCTTTCAACTGTCATGAACACTTTACCTCTCATATTCCATTGCTCAGTGTCCCTTAGCTTTTTTTTTTATTTTATTAAACTATTTCATCTCATTCACATGTCATGACTGTTGGGTCTTGCGCTAGGATGGGACCCAAAATGCAGACACAGACTGAGGAAACGGTCCTTAATGGTTTCTATTATGATGGATAAGGAACAGAGAGACAAAGAAAAAACCAGAAGAGCTCAACCTGACAAAGTTTAACCAAAGAAATCTATAAAACCCACAAGTTAACAGTTCAGTTAACAAACAGCTAGGTAACAAACGCAAAGAACACACTCAACCAACAAACCTAGAGGAACAAACCAATAATCCACAATAACAACTAAGAGGAGAGGCAAGGCAAAATAGTCCAGGAGTTGCTAAAGCAGGAAAACAAAACAGGAGATGCATATAGAATAACAGGAAGAGGCAGGGGTGAGCAGCAAGTGACTGAAGGAAAGGAGGAGAATATATGGGCTGGAGACCAGGGGATAATGAACAGCAGGTGGAAACAATGAGTAGTCATTAGAAACCAGGGTAAAGCTGGGGCAGGTGAGTAGATAGATAGATAGATAGAAATACTTTATTAATCCCAATCTGGGAAATTGCATTGTTTCAGCAGCGGTTCACACTCAATATCAAGCACACATACCAATAAATAGAATAGATAACTCACTAAAAATATAAAACAAAATAAAAAAATATGTTAAAAGTTAAAAACAAACCCAACACAATCAAGTACATATACATAATCACATGATGAATGAAACATATGCAAATCTATACAAAGCAGATTCAGTATACAATTACTCTTAATCCAGGAATCGGAATCTTTTATTATTATTATTATTTGTTTATGTTTTACTGGAAAGCACCTTGTAACGCAGGTTTAGAAAGGTGCTATATAAATAAACTTTGCTTGCTTGCTTGCTACCTTTATTTGGCCAAGTATGTTACACACCAGGAATATGTTTCCGATACACAACCAACAGCTCTAACCATGGGGGGCAACTTGGGGGTTCAGTGTCTTGCCCAAGAAGACTTCGACACGTGGACTGCAAGCACCGAGATTCGAACCACCGACCCTCCGGTTGGGAGACAACTGCTCTACCCACTGAACCACAGTCGCCCGCCTATCACCTTCTTCCTCGCTTCCATGGGTTTTTTTGCCCCATACAATCTGACTCTCCCTTTCTTTTTCTCGCCCACACACAGAGGGCAGGTTGGAGGTGAATATGACTGAGGTACCTTTGGAGGAAGTGGAGAGATCCTTGCTTGAGAGAGAGCCTAGCATTGCCCCAGGAGGGTACTGGAAGCCCAAAGACTGCTTACCTCGCTGGAAGGTATGTGTGGATGTGACATTGTTAAAAGGATCATTCATTAAAAAGAGCTGTCAAATATACAAACAGATGAGTGGAGAAATATAACAAAAGCAGATACTTCCCCATGGGCAAGATGGGTTACTGAATGGTTTTATCATAAAGATGATCTGCATCTCAACCCATTAGCTATGTTGGTCGATAAACTGTTCATCACTAAGTAGCATGTGGTCTGGGGTCCTCAAAGCGCCAAAAACATTACTGCAGTAAACGCTTAGTTACCGGTTTATTCATGAAAATGAATGCAGCCTTAATGTGTAATAAATTTTCCAACATGAAGATTATAACATTGTTTTTGTTAAAAGTATTTTCAGAGAGGTATTCATTTAACTGTATGGTCACTTTACATTGTTATTATGAAGAGAGTATCAACATGTTTTGTGGGATTGTTATATTAAACTGCATTATTTTTAGCTATTCAGTAAACCTAACCTGCACATAATAAACTGGAAACTACGTGTCTTTTTCAAAAATCGTGTTCATCTGTCATTCTGTCACAGATCTTGTGGTAAACAGTTTCATTAAGTTGTATACCACAGTATTCCCAACAACTCTATAACCAAGGAGAAGTGCAGAAAGAACTCATTGTTTTAAGTAACTGCCCATTTTTTCTTGGAAACACAGTCAGTGAATCACCATTCTGGTTCTGAGCCATGAACTAATGAGCTACAGCTGATATCTTCCAACTTTAGAACATTTCATTGAATGTACTTAGATACATTGCATGGTACACATGAGGATATGGTGTTGTTTGTTTTTGTTCCTTTAGTGTCAGAGAGACAAATCAGTGTCAGACACTGAAACTTCAGTGTGAACAATCCAGCGATACAGTACACATAGTCACTGTGTATGACACATCATATGTCCCATGTACTGTATGTCTCATATACAGGCTTTTTCACCACTTGCCTGCTTATACATACAGTCATCTATCACTAAGTACAAAGTACAAGAAGCAGATAAAACATTAGTTCAAACCTTTCTATGTGCATTGCAGTACTCCAGCCTCCCTGTGCTCTATAAATCATTTTTTTGTTGTTGTTATTGTTCAACAGAGCAATGTTACCTGCCATCTGTTAGTCTCATTTGCCCTGAAGGAATCTGTGTTCTGACAACCAACTCTCTCTCTTTCTCTTATTAGCCAACAATCTCTCTCTCATCTACCACAGTATTATCTCTTTTGGCTCTCATTTTTTTCATTCCTTTCCTGTGGCAGTTTGTTTTTCTTACTGAGCTTCAAATGAAACTTAAACACAAGCGCTGACGTAGTCACCACTCAGTAAACACCTTTAAGACATTTAGTGCTTCTGTGCTTCTGTGATCGATGCCTGTCAGATCTGATTATGGAAATGAGATTTCAAGATGCAGCCACTCTTTTGACATGAGTCTTCATAGTAATTAGTGGTTTTTAGTTCTGGCTTCATCTACACTTTGCCATTTACCTTCTGGGTGATCATGACACATACTGTAGGAATGCATAACAAAAAAGTACAGTGTACATAGTTGCACAGATCAGACTGCTCTGCTACTGTGTTATTTACTGCTATATAAACTTCTCCCTTTGTTTGCACATGAATGTCATTTTAATATATTTATATATTATATTTTACTACATTTTATGTCACCAGGTGGCAATCCTAGTCCCGTTCAGGAACAGACATGAACACTTACCCATCCTCTTGAGACACCTGGTGCCAGTACTCCAGAAACAGAGACTCCAGTTTGCCTTTTATGTCATAGAGCAGGTATGCACATACATATTTTCAGTCATTTGCATGGATGAACCCATTTGCCTGTATGAATCAGTTTATGAACACTTCCAGGAAGTCTCCTTATCTGGTGGCGGTAATATGGTTAGAAATAGTTGAACACAACAAACTTTTGCATAGCAACCTACAAAAGAGGAATTGTCATAACATGAAAGTTTCTCGTTTTTATTTTAGGGGGGCACAGAGCCCTTTAACCGAGCCATGTTGTTCAATGTGGGCTACAAGGAGGCTATGAAAGACCTGAATTGGGACTGTCTGATTTTCCATGATGTGGACCACCTCATGGAGAACGACAGGAACTACTATGGCTGCACAGGCATGCCCCGACACTTTGCGGTCAAGCTCGACAAATACTCCTACATGTGAGTCCCGATGCCGTCTCCACTGACATATAGAAGAAATGCATTCCTTACTTAATATGAATTGTGTAATTGTCCCTCCAAGGCTTCCATATAATGAGTTCTTCGGTGGTGTCAGTGGCCTGACGGTGAAGCAGTTCAAAAAGATTAATGGATTTCCTAATGCATTCTGGGGCTGGGGAGGAGAGGACGATGACCTCTGGAACAGGTGAGGAGAACACGCCCAAAAATATTCACACAGACATTGATTTGATTTATTCTTTCAAGCATGTAACAGTTGATATGACAACCCAATATCAATTTGCTTATACCTAGTACATGCTTGAATGGAGTAGGAAGAAGTCAGACTTATCCAGTCCTACTCCATAACATCATACCTTCATTGGTTTGCAAGCAGTAAATGATTCACTTCTACCCGCACACATATTATACTAAAAAAGATTATAACAGTGTTAACATTCTTACACCACACCCCCAATTGTCCATCTAATTAATCATTAAGCCTGTTCTTGCATATATCTTGATTGACACATATTAAATTTAACTGACCCCTTAAATTGTATCCCCCTTCTCTTTCATTAAATAGTTTTTGAATTCCACCAGGTAATAAATTGTTCCTGGCTTTATAAATAAACACTGCAGTCTTATATCCCACTAAATTGAAAAATTTTAGCAATTTAGAGTGTATTGCTCTATCTGACAGACCTACAGCACAGGGCCATCAGTATTATTGACATTAGGTGTGCTCAGCAGATTGGTTTAGGTGGTAAGCACATAGCCGGCCTTTGTTTTGCCTTTTTTTTTATTCTATTTATCCTTATCCTCTCCCTCCCTCTACACACACACACACACAGCCGGACAGGCTCAGGACTCTCAGTATATCCCATCAATTCTTGCTAACTGACTCATGTATGTGTGTTGTGTAATGATCTCTTTTGTGTCCAGTTTCTGTGAATGTTTTTCCTCTTGGTATCTTATTATGTCAACATGTTACTGACATATGATAGCATGGTTAACAAAGTGACTGTTATTCTTTCTTTGAAAATATTAGTTATTACAGCAATGCTTGCTCCAACTGAGAGTGTACAAATATGGATTAATATTTAATGCCTTAAATATAATGTTGTTTAGGGTGCAGTTTGCCAATTACAACGTAAGTAGACCACATGGAGAAGAGGGACGCTACATGTCAATCCCGCATCACCATCGTGGAGAAGTACAGTTCCTGGGAAGGTTAATGTCTATGCTCATTCACACACAAACACACCCATACACACTATTTCACTAAAAGTGAAAGCTGATAATTGGAATGAGGCTTAGACTCGTGTGATTTGTAAGCCAGTCACATGAAAAGCCAAAGCAGTGACTTTGAGAGAATTTCTCTTTCTTTTAAGGACCGTACATGTGATATTGTTGTATGCCTCAGGGCTGAATTCCAGTCATGCTCTCATAATTTTTAAGTTGCCCAAGGAATAAGTGTTCTTTCAAGGAGTGGATACTAGACAGAAAAAATACAAATCATTTTTGTAATTCATTTGCTTTGGTAAATCTAAATCAAATCTAAATGTATTTATATAGCACATGTAAAAACAATGAGTTGTAATACAGTCAAGTTCTAATACAGTCAATCCTGATTAACTTGATTGCACTGTATGAAGAGGTGTTTCATCCTTGTCTCCTCTCTTTGTCACTGATTGATTGGTTGTTTCTTCCTGCAGGTATAGTTTACTACGCCACTCAAAGGAGAGACAGAAAGTGGATGGTCTTAACAACCTAAACTACTCCCCGCTAATGTCCAGGAGATCACTCTACACCAACATCACAGTCCGCTTGAACAGAAAGCTTGCACCCATAGCTGACTACTGACATAGACACAGCTGGACTGCTAACCACCGGGGAGTCAGAGTCCTCTGGGACATCAGCCATATCTCACCAGTTGCAGCACTGCTTAGGAAATTTTTGTTAATTGATTGATTCTTTGATTTATTTTGTTTGTATGCAAAAAATGGAGACTTAATCAAGTATGTTGGGTGAATCATATATGAAAAAAGGGAGAAATGCTGCACTTGTTTGTGCCACTGTCCATCACTCGTCTCCCACCTGGGCTTTCTGGTCTTCAGTCTCCACATGCCTTTTGCACCATTTTGGCCTTCGGCATCCATTCAGTCATTCATTATTCACTTTCTTATTCATTCAACAATTAGCTCAGCCCTACACCCATGTGTATGTTTATTAAAATAGGCCATGATAAACCATCATATTCAAATGAATGCCCACACCACACGTGCACCAGAAGCAGTTTGACCTAAATGTGCTGACATGGTCCCTGAGGCTTTGAGGTTGTTGTTTTTTTGTAGTTGTTTTGCTCTTACATTAATTTTTTTCCACAAATGCATTAAGCCTGTGAAAACATTTGCACACGCACACACCCCACCACACAACAACAAAGCAAAGTGCACTCTTGCAGCTGGTCCTGCAAAAGGCATGCCAAATCTATAAGTGAAGAGAGGAAGCAAAGATAATATACAGTGTGAGTGTTTTCAGTCAGTTATTCTATATGTGAAATAGTTTCGCCTAGGTTTAGAGAATATTAATACTGTAATCATTACAAATTATATTTTGTCCTGTGAACATACCATGTGATGTTTGTGTTTGCATAGTTGCAGTGGATGTTCTGGCTGTATGTAGGAGAGCAATGCTCATCCTGTTAGCAATAAGCTGTAATATCAGACAGCAGAATTTAGACATGACTTCCTCACTATACAGATGCAACAGCGCAGGTGCTAGCATACCTTTACTGGACTACAAAGACAGAGTGACTGTGTATGCAAATTTCACAATTGACAACATTTTTGCCTAAGCAAACCTGTCACCCTTCTCAGAGCGTGCATGCGTCTGTGTGTGTGTGCCTGTGTCTGTGTTTATATAAGTGAGGGAGAGCTATGCAAATGGCCTGTATGTATCCTGCTGTCAGTGCAAGGTCTTCGGGGTGACCTCCAGAAGACTTCACCCCTGTAACTGTGAATAGACTTACTTTAGACCTGACATTGTGTGCAGTGTGTAAATCCAGGCTAGGGAGAAACTAACACTTTTTTTTAGATTTCCGTTAGATTCGCTTAATGTTTACTCACCTTGGTTTTTACAAAGGGGAGTTGGAAGTAGCAGGTGCTTGAAAGCCGTCACCATCACTGAAGTTTACAGAAGCTTTGCTTTATTATTTTTCAGATTAGCCAGCCCTCCTTCACTGTGGGTGCTGTGAAATTTCTTCAATAACATACCTATGGCTACCTTTATGTTTATGTGATACTTTTTAACCTTGGTTACGGAAACAAATGCTTATCTAAGACATCAGGTGACATAAGGTCATGACCAGGCTTTGGTCATGGATTTTCTTTGCGCACGTCATCTTTTGGGTGTTGGTCTAAGTTTTTGTTGAATGACATACAGCCCAAGTCTTTGCATTGACACAGACATTAACAGCACTCTGGCAGTACATAGCAGTTGCTAAACTATTCAGTGTTTAACAGTGTTGACTCTGAGTAAGCTATGATGTAAATGTAGTTCCTTTAAAAGAAGCTTACAGACACTCTGTCCACACCGTCTGTCCTCTAGACATGCAGCAACTTCATTTCACACAAATCACCTTGTTCTTAAGATGAATCTTTTGGGGAAAAGTAGATGTTGACAAATTGTTGTTTCCACAATGAAATATGAAAAAAAAATGAGGCAGGACCTCCTTTTATTTATTTGATCTTTTATGGATTATTTTCTGTAATTCCATTTTTGTTTTGTTTTGTTTTGTGGTTGATGTTATGATTTAGTAGACGACATATGACGGAGTGTGTTGGATGCACTGAAACTTGTACTTATGTGTATTTGTTTGGAAATGTGAGGTTCAGGTTTGTGTAAAAAGGGAGGTGTTCCATTTCATTCAAATGCCAATTTCCTCATCAGAAATTAAATCAGTAGCTGGTTTTGATGAAATGGAATCGGACCCATAGGCTTGTCTGTATTATTCTACTGAAAAGACATGCTTGAGGAAGCCATTTTGTGTGACAACCACAGGAAGAGCAAAACACAGAAAATCAGAAAATGCTAGTCGTCACTGTCTTTCACTGAGCGCCTCATTTATACTAACTGATAATCAGTAGTGGTGACCTTCCAGAGCTCCTTATAAAGGGAGTTTATTTAAACAAGGCCCCTGGAACCACTGCTATCATACAAGCTAATGTCATTCAAATCATCTTTCTAAATTTTATGGCTATTTCAATTAATCCTAACCCACATATAAGTGGCAAAAATATTCTTTGATTTTACATCTGCACATTTGTAAAAGTGATACCTTTTCATCATTCAGGAGGTACTCAGTGGAAGTCTTGGACAGTAGCAGTATTTGTGTTAAGTTTTCTTTTCCACATGAGTTTGAGTGAAATGGCTAACCGTCCTTCAAACCCGGAGGGATCTGTCAATATATGGATGCCCTCTCAATGACATAGATATTGTTAGAATCTGCATTAGGCTCTATACTCCATAATGTAGAACAAGTAGTTTCATCAGCCAGCACCATATTCAAAAATAGTTTTATGTGGCTACTATATGACTTAGGAACAGACAAATTAGTCAGTGACTTGCTTTTTATCTTAACAGGAAATGGATAGGTGAAGAGCAAGCTGACTAGTCTTGGCTTCATATATATACTGTACATGGTCTCAATCAGACCAGGCCTGCTGCTCACTAAAGAGGCTTCACTGTTTTATATTTTCACTTGCTTTGATCCATGTCATGCCAGTTTAAATGAAGTTTCCCCACCTTTGGGCATCTGACAAGACTGGCGACCTTCAAACTTTTTAATTTATTGCAGTGTTTTTTGTTTAGCTTTTTTATTTTCACTCAAGTTTTTATTTTTTATAAGCAAATATATTTAAATTTAAAAAAAAGTGCATATCAAGATAATGGTCATTGTAAATATTATGTGTTGTGTTTTAGAGACTCCATAAGATCTTAAATTATTACGGATGCTAACATAAAGAACAAGGCTTTGGAGGGGTTTGGCTGGGAGTTTATTTGGTGCCATTTAAGTGCTAGTGAAGCTCATGCAGTGACATCAACATCACGCTTCCAAGCACAGCCTTTTTTTAAAAATAAAAAATAATTTTATCCCACAAATTTTTGATTCTTCTCACAATCTCAGAGGTATCCTGCAGTCTAGAGGTCTCCCTGTACTCAATATACTGCAGCAGGAGGAGAGATGTATCATAGACAGATGTAGGCATCAGTCTTTAGATGAGTCTGTGTCCTTGTTTCTGCATGTGACATCTCTTTGACAGTGACGGCAGTTGGGGTAAGGTGTGGGTCAGGGGGAAACACTGCAGGATAGTGATTTGTGAGCCAAAACCACCATGAAACGCAGGCACCCAAACCAGCGACACAATCCACTCCAAAATTTACAGATTATTTTTTTGTATGAAAGCTAACTATTAAAAAAAGAAAAAATAATACAATTTCTAAATTGAAATCTATCTTGTCTGATTGTAAGGAGAGAAATTCTCCTTGAACTGAAGCCATTTGAAGCCACTTGTCAAACTTTGATGTCAGCCTTATGTGGATTTGTTTATGTATAGGCATATTATCTTTTAATTATTGAAATTTGTATGATGGAGATTTTCTTTTATACCATCATTATTATTGTCAGAGTACACCAATAAAATGACAGTAAACATACAGTACCCCATTTTGGCCTGTCTTTTGGATCTATGTTCTGTGAAGCTGCTGACTTTGCTCACACATTTTCTCACGGTGTGGTCAGTGTTTAGTTTTAAATGTTTAGAATAATAATGTAGGTTTCACACACCATTGCTGCTCAAGAGTGTAAACTTTTGCATGCAGACGCAGTTCCTGTGAAGAGACACTTAGTTTACACTTCATTCCATTAACACAGTGCACTAACTGGCCACAGAGTGTGAGCTGCTAGTGGATGACTCTTTCAAACAGCTGCTGTCAGTGTACTGTATAACCTGCAGGGACTTTAAGAGATGATGGAGGGTGGGAATGGTAAGGTGGGTGTGTCCAAGAGGATGTTTTGCAAAAACTAAAAATATTTCTTTCATTAATTTCATATAAACTTACTATATGTGAGAATCCTTAACTAATGTTCCTCATTCTGAGGACTAAATTCTTGCATGAGCACCCTGACACTCAGCATCACATCCCCTCTTAAACACTCCCGCCCTAACAGATATAATTATATGTATTTTTGGCTCAAACACTATGGCTGTTGTATCAAAATCCCAGCATCATGGGATCAGACTTCCTCAGTTTAAGTATGTCTTTTAATAGTCTCACTCCACTCTTGCCGGTTTCAAAAGAATACAATGTGCATGTGTGCCCATCTGGAACCCAAGACAAAAATGATGCTTGTTGGAATTTCCCAGCATGTCATTCAGAGCACAAAATGAGATGTTTTAGCCAGAGGTCACTCAAGATTTATTGAATTAAAAGCAGTTCCAGCCCTGTGGCATTTAGCATATTAACTGCACATCTCTGCTAGTTAGCAAAATTGACAGCTGTTAATTTAATTATGTTCTTGGAAAAAGGAATGCTAAGTGGCAGGGAAGAGACATCTACAGGGAAGTTCTCTATTCTAGTTTTTGCACCATTTACCACACTGTTTTCCATGGCAGTTCTTAAAATGATGTTTTTTGAAAATGTGCAAACACACCTCCATTTATGCTCGCTGAAAATGCCCCTGCTTTCTGTCCTGCTGTGTGACAGTAGTTGCAGTGTGTGTCTGTGAAAGAGAGAGAGAAACTTGGCAGAGGCACAGAGCCCGACTGAAGCAGCCTCATATTAATGTAGTATGGGAAACACAAGGCTTTGGAATGCTAACCCCAGTGTCGATTAACTGTCAGACACTAAAAGAGCGGCTCTTAAGATATCAC